TGGCTCAGTGCGTCTGGCTGAGCTGTGCTCCCCCTGGGGGAGTGCGCTGACCACCTGGGGGCAGCTCCTGCATTGAGTGTTTGCCCCCCTAGTGGTCAGTGTGTGTCATAGCTACCGGTTGTTCTGCCCTTCAGTCGATTTTCATTTTAGCCTTTTATTTTATAGGATAATAGATCATGTTGTCATCACAGTGGTAGAAAAAGATTTTGTTAATTAGACCTGCTCCCCTGTTGCCAGGTTTCATCTTATATAATAAAAGCCTAATATGCTAAGTGTCTAGTTGGCCATTCAACCAATTAAAGCATAGTATGCTAATGATATGCTAAGGCTGCTCAACTGTTCGCTATGACGTGCACTCACCACCAGGGGGCAGGTGCTCCGACTGGTAGGCTAGCTTGCTGCTGGAGTCTGGCTGATTGGGACTGAACGAGATGGGCCGGACATGCCCTTGGAGCCCTCCTGCAGTTCCTCCAGGATGGCCAACCTCCTGCATCCCTCACCGGCCCTGATTGTGCACTGGTGGGGTCCCTCGGCCTGGCCTGCACCCTCTTGTAATCTGGGACCCCTCTGGGGATGTTGGAGAGCCGGTTTCAGCCCGATCCCGCAGGCTAGGCCAAGGGACCCCACTGGTGCACAAATTCGTGCACCGGGCCTCTAGTGTTTTTATATATCTCTATATACATCTATATAGAATTGATTTTTAGAGAGAGAGGAACAAAGAGAGAGAGGTAGAAACATTGATGAGAGAGAAGCATCATCGATTGGCTGCCTCCTGCACTCTCCCTTATGTCTGGGTTTGGGGATCAAGCCCCAAACCCAGGCATGTGACCTGACTGGGAATCAAACCATGACCTCTTGGTTCCTGGGTCGGCACTCAAACACTGAGCACACCAGCTGGGCTAATTACTCATATTTTATCAAAGCAGTCATATATTCTTTTTTTTATTTTAAAGCAGGACAACTGTGATAGCTTTTGTTTTTTACTGTGGTAAATATATATAACATCACATTTACCATTTTATCCCCTTTTGAGTGTACAATTCAATGGCATTTAAGTATATTCACATTATTGTGCTCTCTATCTCAGGAAGTTAACTGTCATCCCAAATTGAAACTCTGTATCCATTAAACAGAAGCTGGTCTTTCTCCCCTCCCCCTCAGCCCCTGGTAAAAGCTATTCTACTTTATTATTATTATTATTATTATTATTATTATTATTATTGACTCTTTTAGGGATGTTACCTAATTCCCTGCCCACTCCCAACCTTTGCCTCCCTCCACCCGGCCCTTGTCCCTCCCCTCCTCCCCAGGCCTTTACCACATTATTGTCTGTGTCCATGGACTATGTATATATGTATATATGTATTTTTGGTTGATCTCTTCCCATCCTCCCCTTTCTTCCTCCCCTCTGAGATCTGTCATTTTGTTTATTTACCCATGCCTCTGGTCCTATTTTATTTTAAATTCAGTTTAGTTTATCATCAATTTATTTTATTCTTTAGATACCACATATAAGTGAGATTGTGTGATTCTTGTCTTTCTCTGACTCAAAGTCAGTCATGTATTATAAAGCAGCTTTAAAGTGAGATGAACTATAGCACCTGAATTTGGCACTTTTTAACTAACTGATAGTATTTTTTGTTTATCTCATAGTATAAGGAAAATGGGTCTGTTACCCATGATCTTTTTGTTCTATGTCTCTTTCACTTGGCAAATATCAGTTGAAGAAAATCCAAAGGAAAATTATGTTTGTTTCAGAGAATAGTTTGATCTTTTTTACAGCAACCACCGTATTATAAGGACTAACCTACTCTATTATCTTAAAATATTTAAAGGATAATTTTTGAATCCTTCCACATTAGCCTAGCTTCATAATTTCTAAACTAGATTTATTTCATTTTGCTGTATTTTTCTAGTAGCGAATTGCTCCTGCAGATATAAATTATTTTTAATTTTCTGCTTTTATTGCCAATGTGAAAAGAAGGAACATAGTGAACAGGTGTGAGGTGACAGTGCATTAGTGAACTCGAGCATTGTTTTGTATAATGGCATTTCTTGTTTCAGGTGCAGCGATATCAGCAGGCTTTCTTGCAGCAGCAAATGCTAGCTCAACATCAGCAGTCTCAACAACAGGCGTTAGCTCAACATCAACAGTCTCAACAACAGGCGTCATCTGAGTATCTTACCTCCCCTCAAGAGTTTTCACCGGCCTTAGTTTCCTATACTTCATCTCTTCCAGCTCAGGTTGGAACCATAATGGACTCCTCTTATAGTGCCAATAGGCAAGTATTTTTCCAGTGAATGCTAAGGAAATTCTTATGGAAGTAGGTGGAATTGTGGATTGGAGTCCTTAAGTGGCTCCTGAATTAGTTTAGAGCCCATCTTTCTGTAGCGTCCCCTCCTCCTCATCCCCCTCTCTTTAAAATCAAATGAACATATCCTTGGATGAGGATTAAAAACAAAAGGAAGCACATAGAGATTGTTCCTCCATTACCAATGTTAGAACATCTGCATCTGAATTAGGAATGACCTTGACAGCTTTTCTATGTTGCTTCATTCCTATGCTGTATTTGCAGGCTGGATTGAAGGGAGGTGCCCAGGGATTCTTAGGTTAATCTTCTCTTAAATGCTAAGAGGCCTATTAGATAACTTTCATAGAACTATTGGTCCCAGACTCCAGACTATAGGTACTTTAACACCATGAAAGATTTATTATATAGAAAATAACCCTCATCTAGTTTTAGCTAATTTATAAAGCAACTCCAGCAGTTAATAATTTGTTGATAGTTACTTAGAAAATGCCTCTGTTAAAGGGAAAGTTGTTGTGATTTCTCACAGTAAGGACATAAGATCACCTTAGTAGTGATTTTAGAATGATGACTGATATGGCTACTGATTTTCATTTTAAGGCTTATTTATTATGATAATAGTTAATATTTATTGAATGCTCACTATTATTTTTTTACGAGACACTGTTCTCTTTACTTTCAAGGTATTAAATCATTTAATCTTCTCAGTATTCCTATGAGGTATATTCTGTTACTCCTGTTTTATAGATAAGGATGCTGAGACAGAGAGAGGTTAAGGTACCTACCTACCCAAGGGTACACAGCTAGTGGTGACCTTAAAGAGCCTGTTAAAATCCCAGTTGGTCTTTCTCTCCATCAATGCCCTTATCTGTCATCTCCATAACAATACAGCCATCTGCTTTCCTAAGCATGTATAAAGTAGAGCATTTAAAAAATTCAATTTTAATGTTTTTTCTTCTTTTAATTATTACTCTAGGTCAGTTGCTGAAAAAGAGGCAGTTGCAAATATTACAAATCAGAAGAACTTCAGTAACCCACCTGATATGTCAGGGTGGAATCCTTTTGGAGAGGATAATTTCTCCAAGTTAACAGAAGAAGAACTGTTGGACAGAGAATTTGACCTTCTAAGATCAAGTAAGGGACACTTGAAGGCTTATTTTGCTTCAGAGTAAAATAACAGCTGTATAATTATTCAGCAAGGCCAAAGACTGCTTTAAGGGGATAAATAGAAAATTCTTTTTGCGCATTTGAGGGCAAAAATCAGGCCATCTTCTCTAACACATACAGAACTATCAAACTATGTTGCGTGCATTAGAACTCAGTTGCTTGATAGTAGCTATTAAACCCAAGATTACTGATAATACACTGATTCCTAATGCTTAAAATATATTGTGTATTATTGAATGTTAAGTTCAGAATATCTCCAAAACATGGAAAATTAATGTTCAAATAAAAAGGGAGACATTAGTATCTTGCCTTACTAGTAATCATTTTGAAGCTTTGTGATTTTTGTATATTCAAAAGAAGATATTGTGGGTCTGAGATGCCCTTTGAAAGTGCCTGAAAGAAAACATGGGCTACTACATTATGTTAATGTTTTGTAATGCCCTTTTAACGAGTGATAACATGAAAGGGCTGCTTTGTTGTCCTGATGTGGCAAAAGTTAAATAAATTCTTTTCCATTTTAAATCAGATATCTCAATGTTTTTACTTGGAATCATTGCCTTTTCTTTTTGCCTTTTCTTAAACTACCTAATATATATATATATCAAGCCTCACCATACATATTTTAGAAGAAGTCCTTTTTTGGAAAAGGGATCTGTGGAGTGTTTTAGGAGGTTGCCAAATTGGAGCAAAACACTTCTAGTGCATGTCATTTTCAGGTTTCTCAGGTGTGTGTGTGTGTGTGTGTGTGTGTGCGCGTGTGCGCATTCAGGTGTGTTTACCCATTTTTGCATGTGAAAAAAAGATCTTACTTGTCCCTAGTTATAGTTTCTAGTTTATTTTAGGTAATTGGCTTCATGAGAACATTTACTAGAGGAAATGATTTGTTGCACATTAGTATATATTTTATGTAAAATTTTAAATACCCTGAGTTAATGTAAGAATAGTTGTTTAGGATTTGAATTTGTATTTTACATATTGGTGATATGATTATCAAAAATTGAATTGATGATTAAATGCAGATATAAAATGAGTTCTGAGCCTTTAATAAAAGCTTGTTGACTTTGGTAAAACCAATCCTACATCTTTTTATTAAAAATTGTTTTTTAACCACAACTTCTTTGTTTGACATTTCCCCTACAGTTTATGTTGAGTGACCTCAAAGCAAGGTTTTAAAAAAGGAAACAAGCCCTGACTGGTTTGGCTCAATGGATAGAGCGTCGGCCTATGGACTCAAGGGTCCCAGGTTCAATTCTGGTCAAGGGCATGTGCCTTGGTTGCGGGCACATGCCCAGTGGGGAGTGTGCAGGAGGCAGCTGATCGGTGTTTCTCTCTCATCGATGTTTCTGACTCTCTATCCTTCTCCCTTCCTCTCTGTAAAAAACTAATAAAATATATTTAAAAAAAAAAAAAAGGAAACAAAGTATTTGGGGGTGGGGGGAGATTGTCAGGGAGGCACAGGGATAGCCAGATCATTATAATTTACAGAATTATTTTTAAAGCAATAGGAACAATTAAAATACTTATTTTAATGTGTTCTTACTGTGAGTGTAACCAAGGGTTTGTTAAATCAGTATTTTTTATTCCTTTGGTAAAAAACTCCTTTTTAAAAAAACTAATTTATGGAATGGGTAAACTGTTCACATAATTTTGACCTTGTAAAGATTTGTAATGACATCCAAGTTTAATTTACTTCATATAGGCAAGAATGGCATATAAATATTCATGTGTACAGAATTTCATAAAAATTGGTTTAGCATGTAAAATTTTTTAAAAAGAATTGTTTTTGAGTTGATTTCAGAGAGGAAGGAAGTGGGGGGGGATGGAGGAGCGGTGGTGCGGGGAGAGAAACATCAATGATGAGAGAGAATCACTCATCAGCTGCCTCCTGCATTCCCCACACTGGGGGCATATGCCTCGACCTCCTGGTTCATAGTTTGACCTCACTCAGCCACTGAGCCATGCCAGCTGGGCAATTAGCATGTAAAACCCTTAACCAGCTATTTGCTTTCAAACTTCAAGGTTGGATAATGTGTGTACTTTATATATGTAGTTGTGCACATGTACATATGCCAAAGAGAGTTCAGACTTCATTACACTGTTAATTATGGAAAGGTGTTAAGTTCCAGGTAAAAGTATGGGAGGAACTTTATGTGAAGGTCATACTTGGAGTAACTCATCCATTTGGCAAATTGCCTGGATAGGCCCTGAATTATGGAAATCCCTGTCAGAGACTGATGCACTTAAGTTGGCATATAACACCAGAAAATAGGAACTCTGAGCCCCGATGTGCCATTTAACTAGGCTCTAATCTCAATGAAGTCACTTAACTGCGGTCTCACTTCCTCACTTAAAAGCTGAGTATAATGATGCTTTAACTAAGAGTGTTCTCAAGAAAATTAAGTGAAATCTCTTTAAAGAATCTGGGCACTCAATAAAATGCCACCTTCCCTTTTCTCACCTTCTGTGTAAGTCTTTAGGTGCAACTTATGAGGTTATTGCCTTTTAACCAGAATTTGAAAATTATATTTAAATTATTTTTAAATATAGACCTAAGCCAGGTTTCTTGGCTGGCAATTAAAACACCAAATTAGAAGGGACTTTGTGAGCAAACACAACAGCAAGAGTAACAGGTAACAGCAATGAAGGAGACACAGAAACATGTCTTTTTTTCTCTTAATAATTGATAGTCATAAAAATTGGGTTCAAGAAAAGTGAAATGTTTTGATAAAGTTTACAAAGAAATCAAGAAATATATAGACTATAGTTTAGAAAGTCTTCCTCCTGAAGTTTTACTTACCTGTGCTATTCAGTCATCTCTAGCACCTCTTTCACTCACCAGCAGAAATGTATCTAATATTTGATCTAGTTGATAGATCAGGTTTAAATTACACTGATGGGCAAAAGACCTCTTCCAGAACTTAAAGAGTTTTGGTAAAAGCTAGTGTCATGAAAGTTGATTATTTGGTCATTACTGGTTGATTCCTCTGTCTCTTAACAACTTTACAAAAATGAATAAATTATTGATTTATTTGAAATACCAAATTCATCTTTTTTTTCCTCAGGCAGTTATTTTTCACCAATTTTCAAAGTCCTTTATAAAATAATTTAGATTTGGTTTATGAGATACTTTCTTAAAGATATAACCATTGACCATGTAATGATTGCTCATACTAATATATTCTTATTTCACATTTTATTTTTAAAATGATACATGGTTATTTATTAAAATAAAAACATAAAAAGCATTATTTAGGAAATACTTATGTCTATTATCCAGAAGATAATGTTAAAATCATATATTTTGAGATACTAAAATTATAACAAGAGCTGTTTTTTAGTGATCTTTAAGAAAATAGTTAGAAAGGGATTTAACATGTGAAATAAACCAGATTCTTCTTACTTTTGCTTTTAGTGTAACTGAATATTATTTATGCTTCAGAATTTTTTACCTATTCCTAATTAAAACCAAAACATTAAATCAAAATGAAGAATTATTAATACAGCTGGCCTCAGTGATATTTTTAAAAATTTAAGTATATTTTTCAATGTCTGTTGTACCAAAATATCTAGATTAGTATGTAAACTTTGGTAATCTAATTGTCATAATATTTAACACATTAAATGCTAATTAGAATACAGGTGTTTGCTTTGGGAAAATGTTTAACTTGCATTTGTTCAAATAGCTGTGTAGCTGTACATGTTAATTAAAAATAATACTTAATAGAATGGAATATTTTTTTGTCGATGGTGAATTTATTGTTTGTTTATTTTGTTTGTTTGTTTAAAATTACATCAAAACTAAAAGGAAGAATAGAAGAAACTAAAGACTGGCTATTTTGCAAAATCTACTGAATGTGTGTTTTGTTTTGTTTTCTGTGAAGCCACAGAATAAAATATATATAAACATCTGCTTATATAATTAGTTTGTTGTAAAACATTAACTCATCATTTTAAGCTAATTATATATAATATATAATTTATATATTATGGTTCCTTCAGAGCAGAATAACAGAAATTTTCACGTATACTAAAACAGTTTCACAAGTATCAGATTGAAAACTGCACTTTTAAATCTTATTTATTAACCATTGGCTTGAACAGCCTAAAGGTTAATAAATAAGATAATGGCTTGAACAATTTAGAGTAGTTAATTTTTTCTGATGATAGATATTATGGAATATAGTTTGGTTCTAGGATTTTTAATGCCTGTATTTTTGCCATTTGTATCAATTAAAACTTTTGAAAAGATACTGCCTTTATTCACCAATACAGTTCTGTTAGAAAAGCTGGAAGAGGTAAGTTTCTTATATTGGACAAATCAAACAAAAGCTTTGCTCTATTAAAAGTTTGTTAACTTTGGTAAAACCAATCTTACATATTTTTATTAAAATTTTTGTTTTCATCATAACTTTTTTGTTTGACATGTCTCCTACAATTTATGTTGAGGGACCCCAAAGCAAGATTTAAAAAATGGAAGCAAAGTTTTTCTTTTTGGGTATTGGCAGGAAGACACAGGGGATAATCAGATCATTATAATTTATTAATTGTTAAAACCAATTATTTGAAATAGAACTTCAAATACATTTTAGGGTGAGTATATAGTTGAAAAGTAACTCTACATACCACTTCATTAGTTTTTATTTATGAAATAATCGATCACTTAAAATAATTAATGCAGTATATGTTTTTATTTTCTGTTTTGTGTCCTGGAACCCAGATTATCATGTGAACTTTGAAAATCTAAATTATTTAAAAATTCTTTCGTGGAAAAATTGATTCTATGTTTTTTGGAACAATGAGAACATGATTCATTTTATAGTGAATTTATCCTGATACCTGTTTTGAAATAATTGGATAATGTTTGCATTGAACAATGTCTTCATATTTTTAATTATGAGGACCCTCTATATAAAAAATATTAGTTTACTCCTACATGGTAATGTTTCTACTCTTATCATTACTATATGGTGTTATTTGAACATTTATCATGAATTCACCCACCAGCGTGTGAGGCTTTAAAGAATCTTAGTGGTAACTTTGCATTTTTATATTCTGTAACTATTGGTTTAGTAGTTTATAAACCTGTAGATTATGTTAAAATATAGACTCCCTACCTAGATATTCTGGCTCATTAGGTCTGTGGTAGGTCTCAGGTAACTACATTTTACACAGGAATCCTGGCAGTGATTGATGCAGATGGTTTAGGAAGGAAGTTTGGTCCTGATTTAGACCTAAGTTCCTATGAACTCTGCCTTGATTTTCAAGAATGAGGGATCTTGGATAATGATATGCTGTGGCTATCATTCTGAGACCATCTCCCCATTTGTCCTTCCCATCCCTTTTCCTTTGTCCTTACTTTTTGTGCACCAGAATTTGGGAAATGAAGAACGGATGGGGGAGTCTAGGACTGTGATACAAAGCACAATCTCTGGTCTTACAGATATTCTATAAATGCAATCAGGGCCTGAAAACATGGGTACCCACAGGTACCCTATGATTCACTGATTCTTAGGCCGCTCTTGTGGTTTGATTTATGGCTTCCCACCACAATAAATTAAAGACCCTTGGTTACGTAAAGTATTCTCCAGTCTTATTTTTTTAGAAATATGCTATGAGACTAACCTGTCTCTCTTTTTTTTATGTTCAAAATTTAAAAAAAAAATCATTTTAAAATTAAATTTATTGGGGTGATGTTGTTTAAAGATTATATAGGTTTCAAGTGTAGATTCTATGATAAATGATCTGAATATTGCATTGACTTTGGGTGGTGGGCACACACTGACATGTACAGAGGTGTTGAACAACAAAATATTTTTAAAAAAGCTTTTCTTCCCATAGTTCAATCAGCATTTGTTATTGATTTCCTGAATCAAGTATATAGTTAATATCTTGAAAAAGAAAACCTAAAATAAAAATTTACTGTTATCCTTTGCAGTATTGGATTTGAAAAACAGCTTTTAAGTTTTGGAACTTTTGTTTTTGTATAGGTCCATTGTCAGATGTGTTTTCTTAACAAAATATTTGTTAGTGTTTCAAAAAAATTTAAGTAAAAATTTAAGCAACCTGAAGTTTCATGTGAACTTTGCAGAGTTAGTTTTAGCCATAAAAGTTAGTCATTGTATCCATTATCATAAAGATATTTATAGAAGTAGTTGTTCATAGCAGTAATTGAGTATATTCAGGATAATGTAGACTCTAGGCCAGAGGTGGGCAAACTTTTTGACTCGAGGGCCACAATGAGTTCTTAAACTGGACCGGAGGGCCTGAACAAAAGCATGGATGGAGTGTTTGTGTGAACTAATATAAATTCAAAGTAAACATTATTACATAAAAGGGTACGGTCTTTTTTTTTTTACTTTTATTCATTTCAAATGGGCTGGATCCGGCCCGCGGGCCGTAGTTTGCCCACGGCTGGTCTAGGCTTTTGCCTTCTGAAGAATATGCTCCCTTGACCAGTACTATCTCTTCACTTGGGAGCCTGTTGAAGTACAGAATCTCAGAACCGTTTCCAGAACCATCCAGTCAGTATCTCCATTAAACCTTTTTACCCGGCACTATGTTTTCCTTTCTAGCGGGGCTGGTAACCTTTTTTCTGCCAAGAGCCATTTGAGTATCACATCATTCACCAGCCATACAAAATTATCAACTTAAAAAATTTGGTCTAAAATTTAATTAACTCACCCTTAATGCCTTGGGCAGGGCCAGACCAAATAATTTCATGGGCCTTATAAGTTCCCCAGCCCTAGTCTGTAGGTTTATTTTTTTTTAACATGCTACATGTATATTTCTCATTTGCTTATTGCATTTTTGTTTAATTTGGTGTTGCATGCCCATTGCCTAAAACAGTGCCTGCATTTAAACAATACAGAAGTATTTGCTGGGTGAATAAATAAGGTATGTTATTAAGATGTTTAATTTAATAGATACCTATATCTTTGTACCTGTGTGTATGTGAATGATTTAATAACTATAAACAATATGAGAAATGAACTATAAAATATAGTGTTACTTTTATTGCTGTTGAGAAATAGGATTTACTTATTTAATGAATGAGAGACCATTTGCAATATTTTTTCCGTATGTATTTATGGAGAAAGTCTGCCAAATATGTCTCTGTTTAGTACGCTGGGTTTAAGTGCAGGTCCAGTATGTTACAAGTTGAAGACAACTGGTATTTAAATAAACCAAACCAAATTACTAGGTTAATTGCATTTAGTGAAATCTAGCTCTGTGATTACATTGTTAAGCTTGCTTTTGTAGCAACAAATAATGTATTAAACTCAGGATTACCCCTAATAGTTTTAAAAATGAATTCTGAATGTAATATTTTTCAAAACGTTGTTTCTTTGTTTAATTTTCACTTTTATTTACACTGTAAACCACTTAAAATTTTTTTAAAGGCCGTTTTTTTTATTTTATTTTATTTTTTGTTTTGTTTCATTTTATTTTTGCAGATAGGCTCGAGGAGAGAGCATCCTCAGATAAGAATGTAGAACCACTTTCTGCTCCACATAACCATCCTCCAGAAGATCCTTTTGGTTCTGTTCCTTTCATTTCTCACTCAGGCAAGTTACATGTGTAACATCATCACTTTCATTAAAAAGAATATACACAAGAACAAGATTGAGAACAAAACGCTGTATTAATATAAAGCCAAAGTAAGAATCAGGTGTTAGTTACAGAAAATAGAAAACTAATTTAACCTTCAGCCATCCTGGTCTTCCTAATGTCATTCTTTCCATTGGGTGATTCACTTGTGCTTTTGCCAACATAGAAAAATGAAGATTTACATAATAGAACTATAACTGTTTCCTTTCTCCTTTGTTATTGGATACTGTTGAAAAAAATCCAGGCATGAAAATAACTCTTGTTTATATATTGAAAACACATAAAAAGGTATTTTTATGCTTAGCTTTTGCTTAAAATTCCTATATTTTCCTAGTTTATACATGTGCTTACAGCTGCATTTTAAAAGTATTTTGTATTTGTCACAATCACTAATTATCTACTCCTTTGTTTTTACATTTTTGCTTTGATTTCAATCCAGAATTTAAATATTATTATTCACCATTTAAAAATATTGGTAGTAACATTTTCTTTTTTTCTTTTTAATTTTTTTTCTTTATTGATTAAGGTATTACATATGTGTCCTTACCCCCCTTCTCCCCCCCCCCCCTTGCCCACACATGCCCTCACCCCCCCTGGTGTCTGTGTCCATTGGTTAGGCTTATACACATGCATACAGGTCATGCCGCCACCCTTTAATACGGTTCCTCATGTTGTGGTGACCCCCCATTTCATTGTTACACATTGAACATCATTAAAGAATAGCGATTAATCACAAAAACAGTATGTAATTATAGATGTGTTTTCCGATGGTCTTAGGCGACCCCTGTGAAAGGGTCGTTTGACCCCCAAATGGGGTCGCGACCCACAGGTTGAGAACCGCTGCTCTAGTGTGTTCTGAGGTGAGGCTCTGCTTACTGGTCTATGCAATACATCCTTTGTTGAGGTTTGTCATCCACATCCTCGCCAGCACTTGTTGTTTGTTGATTTGTTGATGATAGCCATTCCGACAGGTGTAAGATGGTACAACATTGTTGTTTTGATTTGCATCTCTCGGTTAATTGGTGACTTTGAGCATGTTTTCATATGTCTCTTGGCCTTCCTTATGTCCTCGTTAGAAAAGTATCTATTTAGGTCCATTGCCCATTTTTTGATTGGGTTGTTTAACATTTTCAAAGTAATTATCCATTTAACAGTGTTGAGGACAATAAGATAGAGTAGGATCTCACTTTGGCATAAGTGGATTTTTGTAGGTTTGATTATAATGGAAAATATGAGTTTAATCTTGGAAAAGGGAAATGTATTGAGAGAAATCATACTATAGTAGAAGGTAAAGATTTTGTTTAATACAGAGGTAGGCAAAAGTAGGTTTATAGTTGTTCATATGGGAAAAAAACATGCAGGTTATGATAATTACAATAGGTTTATTGTTTCATGTACTCGCAACTGTAAAACTACTTTTTACTCCTGTATATTCAAGGTAACTGTCAGCCATGTTCTTTGGTTCTGTTCCTTTTATTTCTCAGACAAGTTACATGTGTAATAATCATCACTATCATTTAAAAAAATACGCACAAGAGTGAACAACAACAAAAGAAACACTGATGAATATAAAGCCTAGATAAGAACTAGGTGAACTGATAACTGGATGTTAGGCCCTGCCATTCTTATCTTCAAAGCTAAGCAGTGTCGGTCCTGGTTACTACTTAGATGGGAGACTGGGAGACCCCCTGTGCCCTAGGTTTTTGTTTTTTGTGTTTTTTTTTTTAAAAAGAAATAGGTGTTCAGGATTTTTGGTGGGCACATCAAGGCAATGTTACACCTTTTCAACGTTGAGATTTGGTTATCCAGAAACTATAGCATAGTAATTGTCATGGTCCATAGTGTACATTTTGCCATTTATTGAAAAGAGTCTATATTCTTGTCATTTTCTGCTTGTTTTCTAATTATCTTTTTCATGGGTGAACTGACATTATTAATTGGGAAAAACAATTTACTGTGTCTATTTAATCTGCATCGATATGCTCCCTCACATTCTCAGTAAGCTATACAAATGTTACTGCTTTTTTAAAAAACGTTATGGTATCTCTGAATGGTCTCTATAAGTTCTCAGACATAGTACTCAGTGACTTGAGATATTGATCTATTTGTGGCAGAAAGTCATTTCAGTATTAGCTTTATTTTCATACTCTAGAACAGTGGTTCCCAAGCTTTTTTTGGCCATGCCCTTCCTAAGCACCTCTAAAATCCTGATAACCCCGTGACATATAATTCTTATTATTCAAAAAGTGAACTCCTCGTCATGTGGAGGAAGCCTAAAAGGCCCATTAACTTGGCCTAAACAAGCTTCCAAAGAACATGGCATCCATAAAAGAGAAAAATAAAGGAACAAACGACCAGTTGAAGTACTGAGGAAGAAATCACTAAGAAATTATTGAAATAATAATAATAATATGAAGTGATATGAAAAATAGCAAATAAAATTTCAAAACATACTAGAGAACTGAAATGCATAAATATGTCAATTTATATTTATATACTCTGTATGAGACCCCTAGAACCATAAGAAATGCAGAAAATTCACTGTTAATAACTCATTCTTGAATTACCCCCCCTTAAAAATCAAATTGCCCCTCTCCTGTGGGGTATGTGCTCCATGTTGGGAACCACTGCTCTAGAAGAAGATGTATAATAGATTTCAGGTTTTCACGTGTCTATGCAACTTCTATGTTTTTTAAGAGCTTCTGAAGAACCCTGGGAAAATGACTAGTAGAATCAGGAGCTAGTGTGAGTCTCAATGATTTGCCTTTTCCCTGGACACCCTTATTTTGGAGTTGGCCTAGGATTTTTGTAGCTAGAAATATGCTCACCGATTTTTGAGCATATTTCTGCGTTTGAGCTTGATTGCTGCTTTTTATTTTGTGTTCTCTTTTTACTGTGAGTATTTAAGGTCTCTATTAGATTTTAAGCTTGTTGAGACTTGGATATATGAATTGTCTGTCTTTGAATCCTAGGTAGTAGCCAACCCAGTAACCACCTAGTAATATTTACTGGATGTATGAAAAAATTATGACTATCCCTAAAAATTTATACCCTTTAGTGTTAGGACAGTGCCCTTGAAAAATGCCCTTTAATATAAATGCTACCCTTCCAAAATATCTTTTCAGATTTAGGATTAATGGACATTGCAATAGTTTGGTTATGAAAAATTAAGTAGATAGACTGGAAATAAGGAGGGAATGGTCATAGGAGAAATGTGCTGCCAGAGAGAGAAGAAAAGGCAATCACTTGGGTATGCTAGCATTGTTAATTTATATTCATCAGATCCAGAATACAAAATTAAAAATCTAAAAATAACCTAAAAATTGAACCCCACCCACACAAAATATAATCTATGCATTATCAAGCATAGAAATACTTAGAAATACTTTGTTATATATACTTTTTCAGTAAAAAAAAATAAAAAAGTATTTGGAGCATTCATTTTCCTCTAATAATGAAATAACTGAATCTACTGAAACAAAAATGAATTCTTCATAAGCTTTTTAGAAATTGGGAAAAGAAAAAGAAATTTTCTGTCCAATGAAAATATACTCTACTCAAGCACTGTTGTTCCCTTGTTTTTTATGCATCCTATCATCAGCTCATTTTTATTTAGCATTGTAAAATTCTTTCCAATTAAAGGTGGCTGTCATTTTCACTTGTACCTGGTTACATTTTTCATGGAGTTCTGCATTCCGAATTGGTTGCTATCAGTGCCTGCCACACATTTATCATGCTAGTATTTTCTTTTCTACACCAGGAGTCCTGGAAATTTCTGGTTCTCCTGTTTTTCTTTGTTGGTTTGTTAATAGAACTCCTCTAGTGATTTCTTGAGAATGTATGCGTGGGAGGAAAATATTTAAACTTTGCTGCCTAAAAATATCTATTTTTCCTCCCTAAACTGGTGCTTGATAATTCTGTGTTGGTCATTTTTATCATGAATTTTTGAAGCACTGCTTCATTGTATTTGAGCTAAAAAAACAAAAAGCAAAACAAAAAACACCTTAACTAGGGGAAAGCCTCAATTAGGGGAATGGCTGCTCCCTATGGCCCTCGTCCTAGATTCCATACCCTCTGACACTTCGTGTACTCCAGGTCCACTATAGGTAGACAGCTGGCCTGTAGTTACACAGGTTGGTTCACAAAGACTCAACTTTCTGATTTTTTTTGGTGTCTTAGCTTATGATTCTACTTTCGGACTTTTAGGAAGATTCACTGAAGATAATGTTTTGGTAGACCATGTTATAAAAATGAATCAAATCTAGCTTTTCTTCTGCTTTTTAAACATTTCTTTATGGGCAAAATTAAAATTTGTAATTATTCATTTATGCAAAGTTCAATTATAGCAAGATTCTGTGTGGTGCTGTATGTGAAAGTAACAACTTATCCCATTAGTTGATACTGTAACTATCATGGAATTATGTTTACCTGTTCTGTGAGGCTACTACTAGTAAACTGATGTTAGGTTGGAACATCATAAAGAACATTGACTTTGAAGATGTAAAGCCCTGAGTATAAATCTTAGTTCTACCACAAATTAACCATGTGATATTGGGGGTTGCCTAATTTCTTGGGGGGGGAGGGGTTCTTTATCTTAAACTGGAGATATTAACTACTTCATGAGGTTATTGAAAGGATTAAACAGGGGTATGTTATACAAACCATACATGTCCTCAGTTTTGGTTCCTAATGTGGCTGTTGTTGGTAGTGTTATTTAAATAATATTTTTATTACTTACTACTAAATTCCAAAATCTTAGTGTTAAATAAGTTTTGCAGATGCTATGCAGTTAGTAGTAGTACAAAGGTCTAGTAATAATGAGCTAGTATTCTCAACTACTGAATAAAACATTTAAACCTTAATTTGAGAAGCTCTGCACTACCAAGAACTATTTTAATACTGCTGTTTCTATTTTTATTAAAGTAATAACTACCATTATTCACATAAAAATAATTAA